AGAGGTGGGGAGGGGGGAGGGTGGATGATGGGAAAGGCAGCGGAGCACAACAGACACTAGTATGGCAATTTGTAAATCAATGGATGTGTAACTGATGTGAATCTGCAATCTGTGTATGGGGTGAAGGTTGGAGTTCATAACCCACTTGAATCAAAGTGTGGAATATGATATGTCAAGAAATTTGTAATGTTTTGAACAACCAACAATAAAAAATTAAAAAAAAAAAAAAAAAAACAATGTGTGTTTTCTAGAATATCTACCATGAATGAGACATAGGAATTCTTCTTTTTTTTTTTTAATAATACAATAAAACAGTTGCTTTTGAGGCAGACTGATAAGAAGTCACTTACAAGGAGTCTCCCCAAATATTGGGTAAGAGGAAGACAGAGAATGGGTAACTCAGTCCTCATTACTTCAAATGAAAAGTTAAGAAAAGATGTTACCACAATCTTAAGCTCCATGCAGTTCCAGAAATTCCAAGTGTGCAGCTTGGAACCACACATCATATGTCCCACCAGTTTCATGTGTGGTGGCACAAGCCAGTAGTTCCAGCTACCTGGGAGACTGAGATGGGAGAAATGCTTGAGCCCAGGAGTTCAAGACCAGCATGGCAAGACACCTTGTCAACAACAAAAAGTTCCACCAAATCCCTAGGATGAACTGAAGCTCTTCCCCAAGTTTGACCCTCTCGATTCAAACATTTAAAATCCTATGAGAAAACACTCTGAGAAAATTTGGTGATGGATACTAAGGGAGAAATAAAAATGGCTCCAATATGGCTGAGGAGGCGCCAATATGGCTGTCTCCTCAGTGGAGAAGACAGTTACAATAGTACAGGAAATATGACAAAATAGAAATTTAGGAAAAGTGCTCTGAAAAGACAAATTATAAATGGCCAGATAATTGGAAAAAGCTTATCCAAAAAGACAGTAATTAACCAGACCTTAGAGAATATGCATATTTAAATGAGGACAAAGTAGAGCTCAGATTAAAGGCAAGGTTTTCCAATCTCAGAAATTTTTAAGACAACAGGTATAAAAAAACCTGAAAATTTTAGGAAATAGTTTTGTTAGCTAAAATATATAAAGAGGGGAGAGAGCTCTAAGACTAAAAATTCCAACGGGTATTTTCCAAGGCTTTGAAGAGTATTGGGAGCCATGTTAAAGAAAAACAATTTTCTTATTATTACTAAACATTCATCAAAAGTTTGGGGGATATATTTGACATGATCTCAGTTGTCTTGGGAAGAGAATTCCAGCTGTGTGAAGAATGAAATGCTGCTGGGAGTGGTGGTGCATGCCTGTAGTCTCAGCAACTCAGGAGGCTGAGGCAGGAAGATTGTAAATTTGAGGCCAGGCTCAGCCAATTTAGCAAGGTTCTAAGCAATTTAGTGAGATCCGTGTCTCAAAAGAAAAAATTAAAAAGACTGAGGTTGTAGCTCATTAGTAAAGCATCCCTGGGTTCAAATCCCCACTACAAAAAAAAAAAAAATGCAGAGGGATAATTGTGGGGGCAGGAAGGATAGTGAGAGGTCCTATATCAATGCAAGAGCAGATAATGAAGGTATAAGAAAAGGCAGAGATAGTGACAATGCAATAAAAAGAATTAAAGACAGGAGATAGTAATAAGTTCAGTTTTAAAGATGTTGACTTATGTTATCCAAGAACACTCATCTCTATGAGACCAAACAGCAACTGGAACCCACAATCTGCAGTCCAAGAGAGATCAGAACTAGAAATATCCTAGAATTTGACCATTGAGAGATTATGTATGCAGCAAGTTGATGCAGGACAAGTGTAATGCTGCAAAAATATATATGTGATATTCTTTACCGTCTCCTGGCATACAACTATAAAAATCCTTGGAATCTCCAAATGATTTTCTCTTGGTACTCTGACAGCCCCTAGGTAGCTACAGTGTTAGAGAGCTGGAGCTTTGAACCCCATCTTCCAACCTCTAAGGAGGAGAAAGGGGCTAAAAGTTAAGGTGATCACTAATGGTTAATAATTTAATCAGTTATGCCTACATTAGGAAGCCTCCATAAAGCCCCAGAAGCACAGGGAGCTAGTGGATAGCTAAACATATGGAGATTCCTGGAGGCTGACATGCCCTCCATACCCCTTCTTCCATACATCCTCATATATGCTTCTCTATCCATACTTTTTGCGATGTCATTTATAATAAACCAGTAAATACAAGTGCTTCACTGAGTTCCATGAATAGCTCTAAGAGATTAATTCAACCCAAGGAGGTTGCACAGGGAAGCCCATGGAGTCAGAAGTACATGTAAAACAATCCAGGTCAGGCTGGGATGTAGCTCTATAGAGTTCTTATCTAGCATGTGTGGCCATGGGTTCTATCCTCAGCACTTCATAAACAACAACAAAAAACAGGTCTTGTGATTGGCGTCTTAAGCAAGAGGATGGGTAGTCTTGGGGACTGTGTCAAGCTGTAGGGTCTGGCACTATCTCCCGGTATATGGTGTCAGAACAGAATTGAATTAGAGGACACCCAGCTGATATCCACTACATAACTAATAGGTTACTTGTTTTGTGGGGGAAAATCCCCACATCTTTGGAGTCAGAGAAGTGATTAATGTTGTGAATATATAGTGGGGTAAACTGAGTCTGAGGTTTTTTTCTACTCAGCAGGGGAAGGAGAAAAATAGAAGCTAATAATGTATAGACTTGATATTATTTACAGAATGTATACAGATATCATTTACTATATATATATATATATATATATATATATATATATATATATATACACACAGATTTGTATAGACTTTATGTTATTTACAAAATATCTCAGACGGGGAAGATTTAAATACTAGGAAGTTCAGTTAAAATTCAGAGATTAGCAAGTCATCATTAGCAAAAATACGGAAAATTAGACTGTTCATCAATTAGTGATGATGTTCAATACTAAAACAATTTCTATCATTAATTTACAAACCAAATTTTAAAAAGGTATGATTTAGGTTACTAATCTGTATTCATAACATCAGATACCTTCAGCATTTAAATGTATATTATATACTCAAAAAATAGCAGGCCATAAAAATATACCAAAAAAATTTAAAAATAACAACCCAAAATAGAAATAACCACTTTAAAATATATTTTGAAGACGATTCATTTCCGCCAATTTAGGCAAACAGGTGTACAAATGATTTTACTCATTAAATAGGATTGCTCTGTAAATCAACTGCACCTGCATAATTAAATCTTTTTTATAAACATTTTTGATGAGCACTACACTAGAAAGAGATAAGATTTCTAATAAGATAAACACATCTTGAATTAGAGATAAAGCTTTTATGCCATTGGTGCCTACAATTTGGTACAGAAATAACCAGACTACCTGTTGTCTATCTATTACCACATTCAACACAATGATAATGTCCTTCCCTCCTCCTTGCAGGCTTTATGTGACCAGTAAAAAGAAATGTGTTGGTATATGAACACATCAATTTGAGCTATAAAGTGACTGAAATGAGTTGTTTTTTAAAGTGACTAGAGTATTTATCTAAATGAGTACTATATCTCAGAGATGAACCCTAATGAAATTATAAATTTATTCAACAAGGCCTTTGGATCCTTTTTGACTCATCCTCAGAATTTCCTTCATAGCCAGTTATAGCGCACTTACACAAGCATTAATTACCCTTTGTTTTAGCTTTATACTTATTTGATTTTTAACCCCATTTTATTATTCCTCTTATGCACAAAACTTGATTGTTCCTGCCTGCACTGAGAACACCCAAAAGAACAGGCTACAGTTCTGATAGTGATTACAAATGGAAGGAGAAAAACTATTTTGAACAATTGCAGCATTATTTTCCATAAAAATATATAAAGCTTCCCACAAAAGCAACTTTAAATGGTAAAGATTCAAAATTTCTTTAAAAAAAATTTAAGCACATGACATACTTTGTGTAACACAGATTTAAGATATAGCCTATTGTTCATGCAAGAGGATAGCATGTTCATTCTAAAGCCAAACAGTAAACTGTTGGAATCATATACATATACTGAAATGTCACTACCTAAGAAATGTCACACTTGACTTCTTGTGATAATTGAGGCAGGTACACCAGGACCAATATGATTAAAGTACACTTTTAGAGACAACATTAGTTCTTCTATTAGAGCCACGTCAGAGTTCCTTTTCTTTCTTTCCTTTTTTTTAATTTGAGTCCCCAAAGAAGTGGTGCTAATTTTATATCCTGACAGGAAGAAAACTCTCAAAAGACTCTTTGCCTTTGCTAATGTGGCAATCAGGAGCTTTCTCCACTGGTGGTCATCCAGATCCCCCACTGCCAACTCTGCTTGAACAGGACTTGTCCTGGCAGAAGGCTCTTCTTCCTTCTCCATGGGAAATCAGGATGCTTATGCATCACGTTGCTCTTCCACACCAAAGCACAAGGCTGCCACCTACAGAATCATTTAATCCATTCAGCACCACCCAGGGGGAGCAAGAATCAGCTGGAACAAATGCTGCTTTCTGCATATCTGACAAAGGAGCCCACTGGTGATCAGTCCATTTTGCCTGCATACACAGATTTAATTCTGTGTGTGTGAAATACATTGACGACTACTAAAACAGGAACACTGAGAGCAGGAACACACACTTTAGTTCTGGACACTTGAGTAACACTATGGTTTGGAAAGCATTACCAACATGACATTTTAGGCACGGTTTTTAACCATCTTCCTGCTTTATCACAAAGAGACAGACATCAAGCAGCAAATCTACTGGAAATAAAATGATCTTTCCAACTATTCTTAAGACAGCCTGTTCTTGAAGGCATAATTGCCCAAATGTTAAAATCATGATACATTTAACTTGGAAATGTCCAAATTAGTTTCTCCTTTCCCACTCCACCCATAAGTATGATCATTTGACTCTGGAAAAAAGAGCTAATCTACTGCTGACTAAAGCTCACTCCAGTGATTCTCCTTTCATTACCACTTATGTAAGTGAGAGGAACTAACCATCCATTGGTCATGAGAAAATGCAAAGGATAAATAGCCTTCTCTGGGACCACTCATTTCAACCATCACCGAATGGTCATGTTTTGTGAAGGACAAGAAGACACAGGCCTGCTCCTTCTCTGGGTCACAGCTCAAAGGACTTCTAATACAGAACTTCTTCTTCCCACAGTCTGAGGCACTGAACTAGAAAAATGACAGGAGGGAAAAAAATCTTAATTATTAAATAAGCAGTTCATTACCAATCACAGAGCAGATGCTACCTTAAAGTATGGGTTTTAATGAGAAAAAATTTTCATAATAAGAATTCAAACAAGGGAATAGAAGACACATCACAAATTGAAATGACTGAAACAGTAATTAGACTTTGAACTTTTAAACTTAATTTTAATTAAGATTGGAAAAACTTTATACTAGTTTGCCTGTAATGATACAAGAACATTAAAGTTTCTTCAATACACAAAATATTTCACATAAGTATGTTCTAGAGCAAAATTTCTGGTAAATTTTGAAACTTCTTAAGGAATATGTCCATGTTAGCAATCTTGTCTAACAAATATCCTCAGAAACAGCATTTTTAAAAGCAGACAAATCTTGGCAAGTTTTTATAGTTAGATCTTGAATACTGCTTTCAAAATTCAGATTCAAATAAGATACTAAATTTGTAAAACTGTAAAGTAATAGAAGAAAATAAGTTACCCTGATATGTAGCACCATTCAAATATTAATAATTTAGTGGGGAAAGGAAAAAACAAAGATCTACAATGATTTAACCCAGAGCTGCTTGGTATGCTATATAAAAGGAAGGGTCTAAAAAAAAGTCAATTCTATAGTTTGACAGACCAAATAAGTTGACCCTGATAGAATGGCTGTGAGTATATTTCAGAAGCAAGCTAAATATTAACTTTAGATAAGTAGGCTAAAACTGATCACAACGAAATGAAGAGACCAAGCCACTAGGAACTAAGAAACATGACTTTGATCTCTATTCCCTCCTTCACTCCATCACAGTAGCCAAAGGATTGATGCCCTTTACCTTCAACTGCACAAGAGGAAAACTAAAAAATCTAAATGAAACAGAACCAGAGGCTTCTTCTAGCACTAAAAAGGCTAGAATTCTAACAATTCTTAACGAACCTCCCTATAATTAGAGACAACATGCTTAGCACAAAGAAACAGTAAAAGCTCCTACAAGAGCTAATGCCTTTTATGAGTCCATGGAAAAACAAGAATATTGTCAGCAAATTCCTACTAGAAGCTCAAGTATAAACTCTTCATTCCCTTATAGCAGCTTTCAAGTAAGCATTAAGAGCACAGTGAGAGCTCTACAAATAACAGACATAACTGTTTACAATCAAAAAAGTGCCACTTGCATGATAACATCATCAAACATAATGTCACACACATATTTTAAAATGCAGAAGAGAAGGAAAACAAAATAAGACTAATCTTACATAGGAGTATTTACTTAGTCGTGACTACGTGAACAAAGAAATAAAGACAAAAGAAGAACAGAAAGAGAAAAGGGACTAATGTTTACTGAATATCTATTAAGTGCCAGGCACAGTTGGGAAACCTATATTCACTATTTTGTTGAATTCTTGCAGTGTATTAAAAGAGAGATATTATTGTTTCTGATCCTATAAGCGAAGAAACCGAGACTAAAAATTGAGTAATCCCTTGAAATATCCACAAAAACTAGGAAAGTCAGGGTTCAGGCCCCAAGCTTATTTTCTCAACTGTAACAACCTGCCTCAAATCACTCTCATTATATCCACTTCTGAAGTAAGCAGTCTAATTTATCAGAATTTCCTTCAGTAGAACACTTCTTCCTAATATTTCACATACCCTTTCTAAGATGTTTTCTTAATCATAATTCTTTTGAATCAGAGGGTCTAGATGAAATTCTAACTGATGAGTTGCAAGAAACTTTCTGGGGTTTGGCATATAGAAGTCCTCAGTACTCATTATGAAATAGGATATGAGTTATACTACCACTTCAAGAATCTCCCTCAAATCTTGTCTAAATTTAGTTTAAGATTCCTCTCTGTGTTTGACTCTGGACCACAAGGAAGGAAAGAAAGAAGGAAGGTAAGAAGGTAGGTAGGAAGGAAGGAAGGAAGGAACTTCCTCAAATTTATTTATTTATTTATTTATTGTGTGTGTTTATTTGTTTTTTTAAATATTTATTTTTTATTTTTTTAATGAAAATATATTCACTTGTTAGTATAGAGTACTTGTGAATATTATAACCACACTTTCATCATGCAGGGTGTCTTGCATTTCCTTTATTCCAACCTATAAATCATAATGTTGCCACGAAACTTCCTTCAGATTTCTACAGAGATTCCAAAAACTTGCTGCCACAACCCAGACCAGCTATTTCTCTGGGCACTTTGCCAAAAATAGAACCACAATTTCCAAGAAAAATTTTTTTTCTATTGTATTTTTAATTGCATTTGGTGAAGATACAAAAATGTTACTTACTAGTTTGGTTAAACGGGAAACTGGAGTTGGTGTTGACAAAGGTGATACTGTGGCTTTAAGTGTTGTAAAAGGAAGCGCATCTGGTTGTGAAATTATCTGACTAGGAATCTTCACCCAGTAGATTTTATACTTCTCAACAACCGTGACTCTGAAATGCAGTACCAGTGAGATTAGATAAAACACTGATTATGGTCCATCATAATCAAATCAAAGCTTTAAAGGAAGAAAAGGTGGTGGTGGGGGGGTGAACTGGAACATAACAACTCATCGGAGGCAAATCTCTGACTCTCTTCCACTCCATCACTAGATGAACTTGAATTACTGTTTCCTCCACTCTTCTCTGTTCTTGCTTATCTGTTCTGTGGACATGCTAACAGCACTCATGAGTGTCACACTCAAGGACTAACCTGCACAGATTTCTGCTCCTTGATAAATAAAGAACAAAGTACTACTCATTTCACAGTGTATCGCTCACATGCTTCCAAAGGGCATGAAGAGCGGCAGACAGCTACTACCGAGGCTGCAAAAGCAACCACCAACTCTCACCAGGGTCACACTCCTGTTCTCACATTCACGTAACACACAGGTGCAAAGCTTTGTTACTGTGTGCTGGGGGGTCTGTGGACAAAGTTGAGCAGAAAACAGAGACATGTCAGGTGAGCAATCTTTCCCTTGAAATATGCATATGCGACACCATTCTTCTTGTTTGTTTTTTGTTTTTTTAAAATAATTTTTTTTTATTTTAATTTGTTATATATGACAGTGGAATGCATTACAATTCATGTTACACCTATAAAGCACAATTCTTTATATCTCTGTTTATATACAAAGTATATTCACACCACTCGTGTCTTCATACATGTACTTTATATAATGATGTCCATCATTCCACCATCATTTCTAACCCCATGCCCCCTCCTTTCCTTTCCCACCCCTCTGCCCTATCTAGAGTTTGTCTAATCCTCCCATGCTCCCGCTCTTAACCCCACTATGAGTCAGCTTCCTTATATCAGAGAAAATATTTGGCATTTGTTTTTTTGGGATGGGCTAACTTCACTTAGCATTATCTTCTCCAACTTCATCCATTTACCTTCAAATGCCATAATTTTATTCTCTTTTATTGCTGAGTAATATTTGTATATATACACCGCATTTTTTTAATCCATTCATCTACTGAAGGGCATCTGGGTTGGTTCCACAATTTAGCTATTGTGAATTGTGCTGTTATAAACACTGATGTGGCTGCGTCCCTGTAGGATTCTGTTTTTAAGTCCTTTGGGTATAGACCAAGGAGAGGGATAGCTGGATCAAATGGTGGTTCCATTCCCAGTTTTCCAAGAAATCTCCATACTGCTTTCCATATTGGCTGCACCAATTGGCAGCCCCACCAGCAGTATGTGAGTGTGCCTTTTCCCCCACATCCTCACCTACACTTATTGTTTGTATTCTTAATAGCTGCCATTCTGTTTGTAGTGAAATTTAGAGTAGTTTTGATTTGCATTTCTCTAATTGCTAGAGATATTGAATATTTTTTCCTGTATTTGTTGACTGATTGTATATTCTCTTCTGAGAAGTGTCTGTTCAGTTCCTTGGCCCATTTGTTGATTGGGTTATTTGGTTTTTTGGTGTTTAGATTTTTGAGTTCTTTATATACCCTGGAGATTAGTGCTCTATCTGATGTGTGAGTGGTAAAAATTTGTTCCCAAGCTGTAGGCCCTCTATTCACCTCACTGATTTTTACTTTTGCTGAGAAGAAGCTTTTTAGTTTGAATCCATCCCATTTATTGATTCTTGATTTTAATTCTTGCACTATAGGAGTCTTATTAAGAAAGTTGGGTCTAATACGACATAATGGAAATTAGGGTATACTTTTTCTTCTATTAGATCCATGATTTCTAGTTTAATTCCTAGGTCCTTGTTCCTCTTTGAGTTTAGTTTTGTACATTTTGTTGCATTTAATTTAGTTTTGTGCATTTTGTTGGTTTAATTTCATTTTGTTGCATATGGATTTACAGTTTTCCCAGAACCATTTGTTGAAGAGGCTATCTTTTTTTTTTTTTTTTTTTTTTTTTAAAGAGAGAGTGAGAGAGGGAGAGAGAGAGAGAGAATTTTAATATTTATTTTTTAGTTTTTGGCGGACATAACATCTTTGTTTGTATGTGGTGCTGAGGATCGAACCCGGGCCGCACGCATGCCAGGCGAGCGCACTACCGCTTGAGCCACATCCCCAGCCCAGAAGAGGCTATCTTTTCTCCAATGCATGTTTTTGGCGCCTTTGTGTGACACCATTCTTTACATAACTCTATGACATTCCATTTCCACTTGTACACAGAAGTAAGAAAATAGATATTTTTATAATTCTGAGAAGCAATGCAGGGGTTTACTTTTCTAACTATCTAAACTACAAGTGGTATTGCTGCAAAAAGGTACTTTGCTTTTTGGTACCAGGGATTGAACTCTGGGGTGCTTAACCACTGAACTATATCCCCAGTCCTTTTCATTTTTTATTCTGAGACAAAGTCTTACTAAGTTGCTCAGGGCATTACTAAATTGCTGAGGCTGGCTTTGAACTTGTGATCCTCCTGCCTCAGCCTCCCAAACCACTGAGATTACAGGCATGTGCCACTGTACCCAGCAGGAGCATACATATTTTAGAAAGTGTTACTCCTTATATCATGTACACTCAAGTATTAACTGATGGCTCATATGAGTACTAAAGTAGTGCAATATGTCAATCACTCAACAAATGTCTACCATGTCTTAGACTAGATGCTAGGTATATACAGGTGAAATGAAACAACAAAGAAGAAAACAAACCATTGCATCAGTAAGATGGTATCATTACTATACCAAAACTCTCCTATAAAGGTGAAGGTCCAATAGCATAAAAAATAACACAAAATATAATTACTCAATTATATTGGCTAAAAGAGATGGAAACTCTTCTACTCACAAAAATTGTATGTGATTCGGGGCACTGCTTGGAGCATTCCAGTAGACTTTAATTTCTGTTTTTTTGGATGAACTTGTGTGACTCACAGCTGATCCCTGAAATAAAGTGGAAAGAACTATCATTCAATGAATACCTCAGCATAGCTGGAAATGCTATCATATTTCAAAGTAATCTATCACTGTATGACCAAGGCATTATGGTGAAGATGATTTTAATTAGAACAAGCACTAAGGTACACAATAAACGAATGTGGATTGGTTATATTAGAAATTAGCTCTGTAAATAAAATAATCACCCGAAATTTAAGAAAACTGAATGGTGTCACAAATATTGGGTGTGTTAATGCTTTATAAAGCTTGCTCATTATTTCATTTACATTATAAATTCATTCCTTCCATAAATAAAATGCAGATTACTCAAAAGAAAACTCCCTGCCTCCAAATACATAGCATGATAATTTAGTAATTTCTTTCTCTTAAACAATTTTGTTTCCTACTTTTTTTTTTCCACCTAGCAAACCCCTACTCCTACTTTTAAAGCCTAGCTTAGAGATCAGCTCCTCCAAGAAGCTCCATATAAATTCCCTCCAGTCTGTAGGTGGCTCCTCTGGCATGCCTGCCATCACCCTGGATAAACTCTACCACACTATCTTACTTAGACGTCTGTCCTATGTCCACATGCTCTCCTTTTGTGTCTTATCTCCTGTGTCCATTGGTTCTACTGATGTGTAAGGGTGTGGGTTCTTCAAGGAAAAATTAGAAGTCTCTTATTCATCACTTTATCCCTTGCAAGTTCCTGGTGCAACAAATGTTTATTAAATGAATGAAAAAAATTCTAAATTCTACCCTAAAATTCTATCTTCAATACTGAAAGCTTTCAAACATCAATATAAAATATGATATAAAATATCACAAACTGTAAGCTCTTCAAGCTGTTGCTGTATCTTTTCTAGGATGCTGATGTGTAAGTATATATCACAAGTTAAACGGGGGGAAGTCTGATCATTGTGAATCTACATAAATGTCTGCAATACATAGCTAAGGTCATCATGCAACCACCACCCCATCATGAAAAGACCCCAAGGAGAGGGATGGAAAACAACATGAACCTGGATATCTTCACAAGTCAGAAGCTGTGACACTTGACTGTCAATCAACGTGAAAGAGCCAACAGGAACACCACTCAAATCCTCAGCATTTCGAGCTTCTAGGAGGAAGCCTTTAAATGGTGGTCCTGACAAAGTAACTAAGAAACAGATTAAAAGATTTAGTAAGATTTAGTAAGACCCCAAAAAGGAATGTTTAGAGAAAGTGCAACCAGTTAGAATCAGGTACACATGTACAAAACAGCTCCTGAAGAGAAAACAGTAGAAATGGCCCTGCAGATAAAGAGTGTCTAAACTATGCAATGCAGGGCACTCACTTTGTGAGATACCAACAGCCATTTTTCCTCAAGTGGGAAAAGCAGGTGACAGTCACAAGGCAGTCGATAGGGCTAAGTGAGTATGGAAAAAGCTAGATAAAAGTAAAAATGTCTTTCTTTATTACAAACCCCTTGGAGTCTTTAATATTCTACTATGACAGGAGATTCTTGGGAGATATATTATATCTAATACACAGATATTAAATAAATAAAAATCAATCAATAATTTTTTCTCCATATACCCTTGTTGTTAAAGAGCACATATTAATAACTTTGCATGTTTATAGTTGCAGAAAATAGTTTGCAAAATGCTATAATCGATATATCTTCAACAGTTAGCCCACATTTTGCCCGAGGGACTGAGGAATCATAAGATTTCTGTCTTCAAGACAGAAAAATGTTCACTATATTTTAAACAAGATGAAAACAAACTCTAGGGCTGGGATTGTGGCTCAGTGGTAGGGTGCTTGCTTAGCACATGTGAGGCCCTGGGTTGGATTCTCAGCACCACATATAAATAAATAAAATAAAGGTCCACTGACAACTAAAACTATTTTTAAAAACTCTATTTTCTTCTTCTACTGAGTTAATAGTATTATTAATAAATAAATACATTAAGTAATGATTTAAAACTTCTTCAGAATAGGGAATAGATATACCACCTAAGTCATAGGGTCATCTGGAATAAACAAAAAATGGGAAGACGAGAGTATCTTCTAACCAAGTGACTGAAGAGATTTAAAAGAATAATTCAAACCCAATAATAATCAAGATGCATAGGACAGTAAAAACAGAGTGAAACCCAAGTGTAAATCATCATTCCCAGCACAGTACCTTCGACCTGATCTCCTGGTCTGAACGTCACCTGACTGACTGTGATGTGGTGAACAGGGTCAGCCTGTGGCCTGTGACCATGTTCAGGAATCATTCCATGGCACGACTGTGTCACTTTTCCACTGGGATAATTAGCCACAGAATTAATGCACAATAGAAATACGAAGGCACCAGGAGTAAATCCAGGAGCTGCCATCTTGAAAAGAAGATTACAAGCAAATCATTTTCAGATATAATTAAAATCTAAAATCTTTTACAACACAGGACAGTAATTCTAGATAACCACTTACCTTCCATGTTCACTATCCCTATTCTCAAAATATGTACTACAAGGAATGTGTTTCGTGAAATGTGACCTGGATTTCAATCTCAGTGCTACCATATAACAGCTGAGACTTTGGGCCGATCATTTAAGCCTCGACTTCCTTACCTGAAAAATGAGGAAACTAAGACCCTCTTTTCAAAGTTGTTCAAATAAAATGAAGATACAGCCTAAAGTCTCACAAGATAACAAATGATAGCTTTCATTAGTATGATGAGGATAATAAACTGGTCCAATAAAAACAAAGGTTTTATTTCACTTCATCTTAGAAAGCTAAAAGATCTCTCTCTTCTGGACCTAAACATCACCACTTGAAAAAATCTCTGGTATGACTTCTCTCAACTTCCCATTAAACTAATCATGATGAAAAGATGGATTATTAATTTTCAATACTGAAAACTAAACAAAGCAGACAACCAAGTTCCAGAGACAATATTTCTAGGACCTATGGTTCCAGATATTGCTAAATTAAGAAACACAATGGTCAGCCCACACCATCTTCCTCTGACCAGCTGTGTCCTAGAAAACCAGCTGCTTTATGCCAGTTCCACCCTTTTCCAGCCCAGATCAGCCACTGCAGCTCAGGAAGACACTCTGAACCTGAAAACCACAGCATTCAGCAAGCCTGGAGGAGCTGGGCAAGGACAAGTTCAGAGAGTTAAGACTGTGGATAGGCCGCAAACTGAAGGGCTCAAGAAGCAGTTCATTCTCCACAGAAGTGGAATTTTCTAGATTATATATCTAATCATAGACAAAGCACCTTTAGAGTCCCTGGAACAAATTACCATTTTATAATTATGTAAATAAAGAAAAACAAGTTAATTAGAGCCTCATCTGGTGGGGTTTTATTAGTGCTTAACTGACTTGGAGAAAGGAAAGCCCAACTCCAGCCCACTAGAACCATCCCACGGGTTAGGGGTGGGATGACTAAGAAGGAGGTGTTAATAGTCACAGCCAAGGGGCACAGGGGCACTGAAAGACTCTCTGAACCTACTCACAGCTCCCCCCTACTCTCTACCTCCACATTATAAAAGCTCTATTTACAGCAGTTTCTTTTATTCAGTGCATCACAACCAGCTATTAAAAAAAAAAAATTACAAGGCAAATTAAACAGCAAAACATAATTTGAAAAGACAGAACAAATATCAGAACCAGACTTGGATATAGCAAGAATGTTGGGATTATTGCTGGGAATATAAACAATTATGGTTGAGATGCTAAGGGTTCTAGTGGATAAAATAAACAGCATGTAAAAACAGATAAGCAAGGTGAGCTGAGAGGGACATCCTAACAACCCAAGGGAAATGCTTGCAACCCAAAACATGGTAACAAAAATTTTTAAAAATGTCTTTGATGGGTTTATTGGTAAACTGGACACATTTGAAGAAAGAATCTCTGGACTTGAAGATAGTGCAATAGAAACCATTAAACTGAAAAACAAAGGGAAAAAAACGAATACAATATCCAAGTACCATGGGACTACTGCTAAAGGACTAATACACATTTCCAAAGAAAAAAAAAGAAACCTAAGAAATACTTGAAACAATAATGACTGATAATCTACCCCATATTAATATCAGACACCAAACAACAGATCCAGAAACCTTAGAAAACACCAAGAGGGATAAAGTTTTTTTAAAGTGCGTTTGTGGCATATGTGAGAGCTAGTTTATATGTCAACTTGATTGGGCTAGAGATGCCATGGTAACTGATAAAATATTATTCTGGGGTGTGTGAGAGTATTTCTGGAAGAGATCAATATTTCAGACTGAATAATGAAGATCTCCTCACCAATGTTGGTGGGCATTGTCAAATCATATGGTATACAAAAGGAAGAGGAAGGGTGAATTCCCTTTCTTTTCTTGAGTTGGGATATTCACCTTTTTCTGCCATGGGATATCAGTACTCCTGGTTCTCAGCTCTTCAGACTCCAGGAAATATAACTGTAATCCTCCCTACCCTGCAACTGCCCAGTTTCAGGCTTGGAAACCAAGGAAAGTTATCAGGGATAAACAGAAATATACATAATAATAAAGTAGTTGATTATTCATAAAGATACAACAATCCTGAATATATATGCACCTAAGAACAAGAGCATCAAAATATACAAGGCAAACCCAGTAGAACCACAAGCAGAAATAGATAAAAACCACTATTTTAGAAGGAAATTTCAACAATCACCCCTCCCCCATCAGAAACTGACAGATCCAACAGTAAGGACCTAGCTTAACTTAACAAAATCATCAGTCAATAGGAGCTAACAGATGTTTATAGATATTTCACCCAATGATGGAAGAATACACATTCCTCCCAAGCTGACATGAAATATTAATCAAGATAGACCACTTTCTGTGCCATAAAACACAACTTAACAAGTTTAAAAGAACAGAAATGACAAAATGTCTGGCTCTCAGATCATAAATGGAATTAAACTAGAAACTAGTAACAAAAAGACCACTGGAAAAAATCTCCAAATGCTGGAAACTAAACAAAATGCTTCTAAATAACATAGGGTCAAAGAATTCTCAAGAGAAATTAAAAATTTGAATTAAGTGATGAAAATAGAACTTACTAAAATTTGTGGGGTGCAGCAAAAGTAGTGCTAGAGGGGAAACTTTTGAACTGACTGCATTTATCATTTTGTAAATAAACCCTATGTTGGATCAAAACTAAAATACAGAAAGTCCTTCTAAACCCCAGAAACTGTGCTAGGGAATTACACACATAAACCAGTTTTGCACCCTGTATCAGGATCTACCAAGTAGACAGCATAAGGTCTGATAGTACTGTGTACCTCTTTTATCTAACATCAAAGTTAAAGAGAATTCTACTTGTCTAAAGATAAGCAAAGGAACAATCAAGAAGTTCAGGAAAAAAAAAAATCTTTACGAGAAGAAAAGCACAATATTTCTCCGTAGATTTAGAAGAAAAGAATAACTTTTTAAATGGTTGATGACTAGCCAGGCATGATGGCACAATGACTGTAATCCCAGCAGCTCCAGAGGCTGAGGCAGGAACATTACAAGTTGGAGGCCAGCCTCCCCAACTAAGTAAGACCTACACAACTTAAATAAGCACTGTCTCAAAATTAAAAAATAAATAAATAAATAAAAAGGGCTTGAGGTATGGCTCACTGGGTAAGCTCCCCTGGGTTCAATCTCTGGTACCAAAAAAATAAAATAAAATGGTTGATTACTATAGGAAACAGAATATTTAAGAAAATTACTGCTAAAAAGCGGAGTATTAGGAGAGTTTTGGGTGAAAACCTTGGTTTCCATGTCCTTTTGACAGGGAATGATCTGTTGTTAGAGGTGGACCTGATTTTAGGACCTAGCAATATGCACAGAAGATCATAGTCACAGTCCAAACCACACAGTTGTGTCCAAGTTATTGTAGAGATTAAATATCGTCATGTGCCATTTCAGCTAAAAAATGGTACAATGGGAAAAGTTAACTCAGTTTAGGAAATATTTATTTGGCACTGACCTTCTATGAAAGTGAAAACCAGACTTGTTGTCTAGTCTCTTCTATGCACTAAAGCAGATAAATAACATGAAGCAAGTCACTAAGTTTCCATTTCATTCACCATTTGCAAAATATAGCCAACCAACTAAAAGAATTCAAAGCCACCCTCAACAAATGTTACGATTTGAAAGCAAATCATAAAAACATATTGAGAATAATTTAAATAAGAAGTACAAGAAGGATAAAGGAAGTAGGTAAAACAAAGCCAACTGCATTCATTAAGAAATACCAACACTACCAGACAAGGTGCACAGGCCTGTAATCCCAACAACTGGGGAAGCTGAGACAGGAGGACCAGGAGTTCAAACCCAGCCTCAGCAAAAGCGAGTTGCTAAGCAACTCAGTGAAACCCTGTCTCTAAATAAAATACAAAATACAGATAGGGTTGTGGTTCAGTAGTTGAGTACCACTGAGTTCAATACCTCTGTACCAAAAAAAAGAAATACCAACACAACATAGATATGCAAAGGAAGAACAGGACAACATTAGCTTCTTTGTTCTTTGTTAAATGCTCACTGTTCCAGATCAAGTTCAATTTTCTTAATAATGGCTAATGATGGCTTTCCATTCATTAAGAAATACCAACACTTAATGGTTTAAATTTTAAACTTATTAGACAACTCTATCAACAATATCATAATTATTTTTTTTTTTTTTTAAGAGAGTGAGAGAGAGGGAGAGAGAGAGAGAATTTTTTAATATTTATTTTTTAGTATTTGGCGGACACAACATCTTTGTTTGTATGTGGTGCTGAGGATCGAACCCGGGCCGCACGCATGCCAGGCAAGCGCGCTACCGCTTGAGCCACATCCCCAGCCCAACAATATCATAATTATGACAGGAAAAGGAATGGGAGTCATTCAGAAACATTTAAGCTAAAATTATGGAATGTTGATAATAAACTATTATGAGAATATCCTTCAAGCACAGTTATGTGGAAATTTTTTTTAATTATTAATATTCACATTCTACTGCATATATTAAAACTTATAAATTATTCTTATCAGTCTAGGGCAATGATAGACCTATTAGTTTTAAAGATTAAAAGAGAGGTTACTTTGATTCTCTAACTGAAATATTCCCCAAACTGATAAGATTTTACAGTTTTCTTTCTTGTCTAAAAGGCACTTAATAAAAGGATGAAATAGCTGTTCATACCTTATTCTACAAACATTTCACATATGGATAATTCCTCAAAACAAATGATGTAAATACAAAACTCTTATACTTAAATGAAAATGTAATTCTTATTGTGATCTTGGCCCACAGAAGCAAGTGATATTAATCAAGAAAACATTTTTATTACAACAAAGTAAAATTAAAATAAAAAAGAAGAATCTAATAGAAAA